GGGAAATGCCAGAAGGATGAAGGAATTGTTACAATGGAGTGGCGTTAACAGTAGTTAACTGCTAAGTGTTAAATATAGGTCTCAGGAGTTTAACAAAAGCAAATTCACACAGCATTAGTGTACACCAATGGAAGTGACTGAATCTAGCTACTGTTATGTAAGGTTAATTTTCACTGTGTTTGATGCTCTATTTTATGTGTATTGTATACGTATGAAGAGTGATACTTTTTTCACTTTAACCAACTACTTATTTATACTTCTAGTTGCTCTATGCACTAAAAAAATAATAATAATTCTGAGCGATGATCCTTCAAATCAAAAACAGGTTAATCTAAGCAAAAAATGATGTTTGCTTTGTGTGCGAGATTGAGGTCCATGGTGAAATATTGGACTAGCAAATGATCAGAAAGAATGTTTTTTTTTTCCAGTGACAGATGAGACCCATGAGAAAATATCCATCAAAGAATATAGATAAATTCGATTTTTGTTTTAAAATGTTTCTAAGTGCTTCCTACAGTGAAAATGTCTTTTATATTTGCTTCTTTTCAATGATCAGCCTGCTGAAAACCTGAGTCAATATATATATATATATGTCTTGATACACACTTAATCATCCAGGTAAGGAAATACAAGAAAGTTGAACCTGTTTATCTGGAAATTGTGTTTTCAGTGGGAGAGACAAACTGAAGAAGTCACTTGGATGAGTCACGAAATGAATACAGTTACTTTTAAACGTTGTGTGCTGAACATATCTTGATACAAACCTCTCGGAAGGTTCCTGATAGACTGCAGAACTTATACATCGCATAAGAAGGAACCATCAGCATGGAGGACAATGCCACACCCCAGCCGATTTGGTTGGCCCATTCAGGAAAGATGTAGCTATCATAGCTCAGGTCTGATGATGTCAGACTGGCTATTACCACAAACTGTTGAAAAAAGAACAGAAAAGAGACGAAAAAGAGAATAATAGACACAATATAAAGGTAAGATCTATTTGGAGTGATAATGGTCTTAATGTCTGAAATAAAACATGCATAGAATTGTAAAACAGGCAACAAAGGCAAAAAAAGAGAAAAGAATAAAAGGCAGTAATGTAAACAGAAGAGCGAAATAAAAGCTCAGCCACCAATAGGGATGGGAATTGAGAATTGATCTGATCAGTTCTTCAAAATTGTTAAAGTGCTTGCCTGTTGATTCCCCTTTTCACTTCCACTTAGCATTTGCACTGCTATAATCAGCTGATTTCATTTCTTGTGGAGTGTAGAGTGTGGATATGACCATTACTTTTAAAAGGACAAGAGTACGATGGTAAAGTGAAAACTGCATCCAGGACAGAAACAACTGCATTATGTTGTTAACCCTAGCTTTTTGCAAACATCTGCACAGACACTGTGCTAATGCTAAGCTAGCCAAAAACCCAGACTGATGTTAAAGCTGAGTGCTCAAAGCTGGCAGCCCAGCAGGCAGACCCAAAATGTCAAAAGGTAGCAAACAGATGAGCAATCAGGCTGCAGCCTCCACTTATACCTGTCCATGTTTCTAAAGTAGAATCACTGCAGCGATCACTTTAAAGTCTCTTTGTGTCCATCTTTGCTTTGTGTTGTTGGGTTTGTGGTCATATCTCAATACTACGATAAAGATCATATACTGTATGTGTCATTAGGATAGAGATTTGTGTTGGTGTATGGGACTATAGCCCATAGATTTACATTGTTAAATTGTAATTTAAGACAATGTGTTTCAGGTCATTTTACAGAGAAATGCAAAAGTAATGTAACAAGTAATATAATGAATTACTTTCTCCTCAAATTAATTATGCAAAATACTCCATTACACATATTACACATATTACACATATTACACAAATTTGTAATTTGTGTAATATGTGTAATAAAGAACTTTTTTTGAGTAACAACCCCAAGTTGTTAGTACAACCCCAAGTTGTTAGTACACAAGTTCTCCCACATGCACAAACATTTGCCCACACAATAGGCAATTAATTTGCATTAATGGAATGCCTTTGATATGTTGCCTAGCGATGGTGGTGACACCAACAGAGCAAGAACCCAGTGAAAAACAAAAAGAAAATCAGTAAGGAATTAAAGCAATAAGACATTGATAATAGAATTGGAATCACTAACTCCTTATCAATTCTTATCCCTAACAAGCAACACACTTCTATGAAACCACACACTGCAAAATATGTGCAGAACATGATTGAAAAATGATATTTGTGAAACTAATTTAATCTGTTTAACTGTTTATGCTTGAATAAACTGTTCTCCATCTCTCGTGTACTAATATATGAGAGGAAGGCATGTGATTGATCCCAAATTCTTTCAGCATTCAGTGAGACAGTATTTCCGTAAGTCTTGTGAATGAATGAATCCATTCAGATTCTTTAATGAAGTTGCCTGTAAAAAAAAAAAAAACAGCAATGCTTCTAATGGCCATAAGAGTTTGTTGCCTTGTAAGACATTTTTGCCTGTAAATCTAAGTTATAGTCCAGAACAAATTATTACTTCACACAGAGAAACACATGGACACTTAAGTGTATTCACTGACTTAAAAAGTAAACACTGAATTCACCGCCATATCTCTGCCATATTTCTTATCTCCTAGCTTACTAACAAATTAAACTTTTTAGTTTTCAGGAAGGATATGTATTCTGTTGGTGTACAAAAGCATGTAACCTGGGGAATTCCCTGTATACAAAAATGTATACATAAACAATGGTAACTTGTTATTATTCATTACAATATGTAATTTTACTCATTTCTGCAAACCACCACACATATATATTAAAGGAAGCACATGGCTGTCTACACCCACTTTTGCATAACAGTGACTCGAGCAATGCGCTTCCTCTATTGCACGTGGAACAGCGCACTGCTAAATCCACCTGCCAGTGAGGAACTCGCCAGAAGGCACGCTAAGGTTCAAACAATTCTCCCTTATCCCACCCTCCTTCTGTGCTTATGTGCATATGTGCTCTCTCTGGTGTAGTAAATGTTTGTTTTTTTTTAAGTTCTCTATTCTTTCTCTGTTTTTTTTATTATTTCTCATGTTACATCTTGCATGAGCTAACCAGTACTGTATCACTGAGAAGGAAACTTAATGCTGGAATGAAATGGACCTGCTGGATTATTGTAGGGTCTTTACCTAGCAATATAAAGCACCTTGAGGCAGCTATTGTTGTGCTTTGGTGCTATATGGCAGCCTCGCCTCTGTCAGTGCGCCCCAGGGCGGCTGTAGCTACACTGTAGCTTGCCATCACCAGTGTGTGAATGTGTGTGTGAATGGGTGGATAACTGGTTGTGTAAAGCGCTTTGGGGTCCTTAGGGACTAGTAATAGCGCTATACAAATACAGGCCATCTATATAAATAAAACTGAATTTAATTAAATTGAATTGAACTGGACCTCTATGCAGCTTTCAAACATTAAGAATGCAAGATATTCAAATAAATTAAATAAATAAATACATAAAGTAAATAATAACTCCAAGAAATCCAGTCGCTGATTCTTGAAACATTTTAGTTTTATCTGGCCTTGCTGAGTTTGTGTTTTGGTCTGAGCTCAGATACTATGCCTGTCCCAGAGTATCGGACTACAATCTTTCTTGCTGTTGCCGCTCTCACCAACAGAAAAGCAGGGCTGACATATTTCCAGCACAGCCTCCAGTAGAGTCCTGGCTTGAAGCCCATCATTCGCTCAATATCTTCACTGAAGCGATCCACACCTGGGGCGAGCATAAAAAGTTAAACAGTGAAGGTTACTAATCAGTGTAGGCTTCAGCCAGCTCTTTGTGCCAAGCATGCGGTCTCACTGGACACAAGGAGAAAATGCAACATGGTTTACACCCTCATAGTCCACTATTATTTTTCATGAGTGACCTGAGATAATCTAAACCTGACATAGCCCATCAAGCATCTTATTCATATCATTATTTCAAAGAAATGACCATGTTTTTATCAACATTTTTTTTCTGCCTCCTAAGAGATTTTTCTTATTTTAATCTATCCATATCTATCCAGTTTTGCTTGTCTACAGATGACTTAAAAGATTAGATAGGTGTGATGTGCCAAAAAGTATTCTGTCTTGGACTTGGTTTATTCACTTTTCTCTCTCTCTCTCTGCCTCTGTATATCTCTCTTAATGACACTTTTAAGTTAAGTATGTTATCTTGTTCATCCCTGTGCTGCAATAGTGCAAAATACAAACAAATGCAATCTGGATATGTGTTCCACTAAGGCAAAACTCATCGCTAAACTTAATTTTCTGCTTGTTGGTCTTCCCTTGCTTAACCTATGACAGACTGTCTGCTTTTTTCCACCATTTAAATTTCTGTCTTATCTATCAATTTTCTTCTGCTAATCCAATTCAGGTTCACAGGAGAGAGAACAATTAAGTTTTGCACTGATTTGCAGAGATCGTTCCCTCAAAAGAGACAAGTGGACCAATTCCATACCAGTAAAATCCTAACAGGATTTTAATGGGATAAATGTTCATCCCCTCACTTTAATTGGATACCTATCTGTATAATATAGATACATATACAGATATACAGATAAATAACTTAACAGAATATTAAATAATAAAGAATGCCATGGGCATACCTACCATAAAACCACGACACTCCAATGGCCTCGATCAACACACCAAAGAGTATTGAAGTCCCTGCTGCATGCCTATCTAACAAGGTCAGGACATACATTCCACCCTACAAAGCAGGAAAGAACCATCATTTAGTGTGTGTGCCATATGTAACTGTTTTACTTTGAAGATAATGCAGCTGGTTAAATCAACCAACAAGTCTCTCTCAACGTAAATGAACTAATAGACGGCATATACAAATTTTGTTCTAAAAGATTATTTAAAATTGAGTTTGTGGAGTTGGCCTCTCAAAGGATGATATGCCATGCACATTTGACGTAAGTAAATCTTTGATTTGGTCTGTTTCCTTTCTCAAGGATACGCCAAAAGAAAGGCATCATTTACTTTACTATTAATTTTACTGATCTGATTAAGGGAATAAACCATGTGATTCACTAACACAATTTCATCCTGTCTCCAAAGTTTATATTTCCACAGTCAGCATGAATTTTACCTTGCTGGTGATACCATGTGAATGAAAACTGAATATTGGCTTTAATTAAATTATGATTTGTTATCAGAGCTGGCATCAAGTCATGAGACTGAGTCCCTTGCATTTTAAATGTAAGCTGTGTTTTACACAGCAAAAGTATATTACAAAAGTAAAATATTTAAAACCATATTTACTATTTAGATATTCATGAATAAGTAAATAAGCAGATAAACATCCAGTCATACTGACGTTGGTAACGCAGAGCAGAGCAAACAGGAAGGTTCCAAAAGCTGTAGCGAAGGTGAAAAGCTTTCGGTTTCTTTTGAGAATCTTAAAGTCATCTGACAGGCCTGTGATGACTGCCTCCATGCCACCCATCTGGGAGGGGACACACAAAGAGATACAAGACACTCAGAACTGAATCTGAGCCGTAAGTGAACTCCAATGGCAATTATATAACTGCAAATTTGCAATTTCAGTCAATACTGTTATGGCAGTGTTTTAGCTACAAGAGGTGGCTTCAGAGGAGAAAAAACCTTAGTGAAATATCTACATATCACACAAAAGCATGGCGATGCATATGATATATTATAAAATAATTGGAAATCCTCAATCTGTACAATATTTTGTGAAATAATAATAATTGTGAAATAGTTATTACTCTGTCCTAAGATTAGAGTGGGATACAGGGATGCAGATCATCTTTAAATATGTTAATAATATCCAAAATACAAACTTGAGGTATTTGGCATGACTGACAGTCTAGATGACTTATGATATAAGAGCTTTTTCATGCAAAAATTCATTTGGTTATAGTGTAACAATATTTATATTAATATTTATGTTTGTAGTTATGTTAGTTAGTCAATTATCTGTTTATTTTATTCATTCATTTTTATTATTATGTTTCTGTTCTTTTACTGGCATGTTGTTCGCTAATCATTTGATGACACCTGAAGCCACACATACACTATGCTAGTTTCCTTTTGTTTAAATGTACCAACGTTTTTCATGTTTTGTGCCAATAATGAGTCTAATAAAATAAATAAAAATACCGTTATACTGTTTAATATTTTTATTACACACCCCAATCTGTTCTACGCAATAAGTGATTGGATCGATAAGTTAATTTTTTATCTATCTATCTTATCTATCCTGTTGTTGTAGTTTAACTTGACAATGTTAACTTAACTGTCAAGTCGACAATACTGCCAAGCAACATACGACATGTCACACTGAAAGGGAATTGTGTACACATTAAGGTCAAACCATTGTGGACACTTTTGTGTACATAGTGCTAAAGGAACCATATGTGACCTCTGAGTATGGTGTGAGTGGAGCTCTATTGCTCCTCAATGTCTCTTTTTGCTGCATTTACAACCGTGCTTGGAGGTGTCTACTTTTGTCGCATCATTTGTGAACCACAGTAACACATTTTTCTCGGAGTGCATATTATCATTTACACTTTTTTCTCTCTTAATAAAATTATTTCTTGTTGTGCATACATAATAATGTATTTCAGATGTAACATTCACCACACAACTGCTGCCTTATTTTTGTCTTTGGGCTTTTATATATTTTTACAACTTGACATATTTATTTTCCACTTGCATAATGTGTGAGCAGTGTTGGGAAGGTTACTTTTAAAATGTATTCCACTACAGATTACAGAATACATGCCCCAAAATGTATTTTGTAACGTAATCCGTTACGTTACTCAATGAGAGTAACATATTCTAAATACCTTGGACTACTTAATATATTTTCAAGCTTTTTACAACTACATGAATGTACTATTGCTGTGTGATTTATTACTATCACTGAAGGTTGTTCGCCATAGCAATAAACTAGATTTTTAAATCTTAATATAAAATGAGTAACAGTAGGGTGGACATTAGGCTGCACTTTTTGCAGCGATCTATAGAAAACTATTCCGCACGTATATAAAACAGGTCCGTGGCTCTGAACCGTAGTAAAGGCACCTCTGGCTAATACATCGGGTTCGTGTCAGGCTCGTAGCCGAAAACTAGCTTTACTTTGTTGTCTGGGTCAACTTTGCTAACGAGAGACGGAGAGAAGCGTTGAAAGGCTGCTCCAACGGAACTTATTGTTTCGGAAGAAAACACGAACACAGTGTACAGTTGAGTCTTAATAGCTTACTTACAACTGGACTACACTGCCCATGAGGCTACATTCTTTAGAGCTATGACTGTAAACACTCTGCCTATTGCCTTCATATTAAATAATTTTTTGAACAATAATTTTTAATAATATTTCTTCACGTCATTATGCAGGCCGCAAGTAGAGGTGACATAGACCGCGAGATTGAGAGACAGGCATTAGAGCCTCTTAATGCGTGTTTTGTCTGGGCGTTGAAACCAAAAATAGAGAGGGTATAGTCTAACATATGAAACAGGAAAAGACCGCCGTGTAATCCCTTTATTTCAGCAAAGTAACTGTATTCTGAATACCACCTTTTTAAACGGTAACTGTAACGGAATATAGTTACTCATATTTTGTATTTTAAATACGTAACGGCGGTACATGTATTCCGTTACTCCCCAACACTGTGTGTGAGTAATTATATATTTATATATAAAATATAGAGATAATTGGAAAATAACTGTTTATAAATAAGCGGTCCACTTTCAGTTGTAAGGATATGAGTTTAGTTTAATAGTCTGTAATAGTCCATAGTACTTACTGCACTGTCAATGCCTAAAGTCAGCAACATGATGAAGAACACAATGGCCCAAAATGTTGAGCCCGGAAGTGTTGAAATTGCTTCAGGGTAGATTATAAACACCAGACCTGCACCTGTATATACAGTGAACATTTCAGCATTCCTGTATGTATCTATGTGTATTCAGTATTAAGTACAGATGATCGAATACTGTATCATTCGTTCCAAAGTTAAAAATCACATATAAAATGCATTACAGCAACATAGGTTAGTGAGTGATGTCAGTCTTACTAATGCTTTTACTGCTATGTGAAAACTTACCCTCTGTTGCCACATTTTCTACTTTCACCCCGTGTTTTTTAGCCATATATCCGAGCACAGAGAAGATGGCAAACCCTGAGAAGAAACTGGTAACGCAGTTCACAGTGCTGGTCAAGAGAGCATCCCTAGATTAAAAAAGCACATGCAAAAATAAAAAGTTAAGAAGGAACAGTTTTCTTTTTTTCTGTATACCTTCTATTTTTAAAAGTGCCAACTATCCGACCTTTTCGATCTTTATAGTACACAATAGTTCCAATGAGCTAGTATCATTCGTTCACATTCTATGGCATCAAACATTGTTAAATCACTGCTAATATAAGTGCTTCTCTTTTATGGTAATCTGCATCAAAGTTTGTACTGGGTCAAGAAGGCAAAGCTAAAATGAAGCCGAATGTTACTTGTTATCTTTCAAATGTTTCATGAATTGATTTACATATAATACATAATGAGAAACCTTTGTCCCTTGCTTCTAGTAGGTGGTTGGAAAGGCGATTATGGTGCTTGGTCACTAACTTGCTGCTGTTAGACCAAAAGAACAAATCCAACTTGACCTTGACATCTTTATAGGTTTAGTGAGTGAATCATCTCAACAACAAAAAAATTCCTACCCCCTAACACCACCCCTTTCAACATTTATTTTTAGTTTATAGGCTGTGAAAAATGTATTTTTATTCAATTATTTGTATTCATTTTACCTCTGTAAATGTATTTAATGTCAGGATCCTGGGTCTCTCGACCCAGCGTTTTGAGTTCCTTATGCCTTTGTGATTTTGCATTATGAATAATGTTTAAGGTTCTTTTTGTTAATCTTAGTTTATTCCATAGTGTCCAGTGTTTCCTGTATTCCAGGGGTGTCGAACTCCAGGCCTCGAGGGTCGGTGTCCTGCAGGTTTTAGATATCACTCTGGGTAAACATACCTGAATCAAATGATTAGTTTATTACCAGGCCTCTGGAGAACTTCAAGACGTGTTGAGGAGGCAATTTAGCCATTTAAATCAGCTGTGTTGGATCAAGGACACATCTAAAACTAGCAGGACACCGGCCCTCGAGCACACCTTTGCTGTATTCTCTGTTTAGTTCCCTGTGTATTCAGCAGGTTCCCCTCGTGTACTTGCCCTCTGTGTCTCCCTCTGTGTATCTGTGTTTACATTGTGATGTTAGTTCTGGTGCCGTGTTCCCACTCCTTGTGTTCTGTTTCCTCATCCCGTCATGTGCTTCTTCGTGTTCTCTTTCTCCCTCCAGGCTGTCTCTGTGTGCTTCCTGTTTTAATTTGAAGGTCTGTCTCATGTTGCTGTTGTCAAATAAATGTATTATTATTATTATGTTAGTGTATTCTGCTTTGCTTCCTTGTCTTGTCAGCACTGATTTCTCCAAGCTTTGTTCCCCTCCTGTCTCCCATTGCCTGATTTCTCCTGTGAGTATATAAGCCCTGTGTTTTCTCGTGCTTGTTGCTGGTTTGTCTGTGTTGTCTCCCTGAGTCTCCCTGTGTTCCTCTGCATGTCATCCTGTGAGTTTTGGCTTCAGTTTCATTTGTTAGGTTTTTCCAGTTTAGGTTATTTCTTAGTTCCTGTCCTCGACACCTCCACTTTTGTCTGTAGTATCTCTACTTATAAATAAAAGCTCACTCATCTCATCAAAGTCAGTGCCTGCATTTGGGTCCTCTCTTATCACAATCCCGGGGAAATCATTTACATCTGTCTCATTAAACAGGTCTCGGTATGTGATCCCCTGCAATTTTCATTTAATAAGACGAATTAACACAGTAATTTTAGACACATAGTTTATTAATAGTTTAATGATTACACAAACATGATTAGATTTTAACTGGAATCTGGTGTGTTTTGATATTAGACTTCCTGTTATTTTAAGCTGTTTTTCTTTGTCATAATAACTTCCTTTTCCATTTGTTTATTGAAAATTATTAGGCTAAGTTTTAGTTAACAGGACTTTTATTTCATTATTTAATTAACATTATTTTCACTATTTAGCTGGTGTTCTGTCTCTGTTGGTATTCAAACAAAACTCTTTCCAACATTGCTTGTTCTTCCAGGCTGCTGCCTTTCAAATAGTTCAAATCTGCTCATTTGCCACTAAGGACATAATGCAAATTCCACCTGCCAGCAGTCCACTCACATTTCTAAATGGGACATGAGAGGAGGAAGGCAAAAGAGGCCTAGTTTGTGGTTTAGCAAACGTGAATAAATGAGAGAGGACAGGAGAGCAGGGTCCATAATGCATATATCAGAGTGTAGTTAAGATTTAGCTTGGAGGCCTCTGTTATGACTATTATTTATTATCTACTTATTTGACAATATAAGCAGTTAATAATCATATTCACTTATTTAAGCTATTTTTAAGCAAGAGTTGTCTGCCTGTTGCACAAAGCAGACAACTTTCTCTCTTTCTCACTCTACACACACACGCACACAGACACACACTCACATCTTAGGTTGGCCATTCTCTACCACCCTAGAGGGCGTCTCATACACA